AAAAGTGGGTAGAAGGTAAACTGGAGAATCTCTGTTGAGTCATATTGAATATTACTCGTTTGTCTTTTGGTGGAGAACACCCAGCAGTGCTCAGGGCTTACTCCTGGTCTTGCACTTAAGGCTCACACCTGGTAGAGCTCAGGGGACCATACGAAGTGCCAGGAATCAAACCCGGTTTGCCACATGCAAGGCAGGCTCACTACCCACTATATTATCTCTCCAGTCCAAGTAGTACTACAAATTGTAACATAGCTATTATATTGGAAAATAAATTGTGACAAGAAGACAGAAAATATATGACAAATAAGGGTTGTTATCTATTATGTTATGTTCATTATATAGATTAGATTTGTTGTTCAATCTCATCTTATTGCCTCCAGCAATAAAGTGGTATTTATTAATGAAAATTTATACTTTTCTTCCTGGTACAGAGAGGGGAACACACACGCGTGCACACAATTCTTGAAAAAATGAACAGTTTAAGTTTTGATTTTAAACTGTATGTTCATCAATTTATGCTGAGGGTATGGTAAATCTTCAACTAAAATAGGTAAATGAGTAGGAAAGTGATTTTAGTTTTGATGTTTATGTGACATTAATCTTAGCACTGTGTAAAGAAGCACACACAGAGTTTCTGTTTCCCAGTAGAATGGAATCACTAGCAGTGATTAGAATTAATTAGATTAGAATTAATTACATTAGAATTCTTGTCTAAAGCAAGTAGAATAGCCAAACAAATACAATTTTGTATTTGAAAGCAGTTGACTTTTGTAGTTGCTTTTGTCATGGAGACTTCTAATTATGAATGCGGAGCAAATCTAGCTTGTAGCAACTGATAGCAGGGTAGGGATAGAAATCAGCTTTTGGCATTGGAATGCCTCAAGCATATTCCTGTCATATTTTTTGCCAAATACTCAGCTTCTGCTGGTTAGAATGAAAACATAAGCAAAGAAAAAAAATAGAATAAACATTTGAACTTAAAAGACTTAGATGGCACACATAGGTTTTACCATCACTGATTTAATGGTCCTACAGAATATACAAAAAAGATGTGGATGCCCATGGCAAAACAAATAGGTTAAACCTTACGAAGGCTATGCACCAGTTTTCCCTTGCTCGAGCGGGCCCAGTAACGTCTCCATTGGAGACTTTGTTGTTACTGTGTTTGGCATATCGAATACATCACGGGTAGCTTGCCAGGCTCTGCCCTGCGGGCGAGATACTCTCGGTAGCTTGCCAGGCTCTCCGAGAGGGACGGGGGAATCGAACTCGGGTCGGCCATGTTGGCTGCGTGCAAGGCAAACGCCCTACCGCTGTGCTATTGCTCCAGCCCTTAGTATAGAGTTGATTATTAAAATGTTCAGTCACAACAGTAGCACTCAGCATAAGAAAACTTGGACCTTCTTTGAGGCAAGATAACATCTGAAGCTTCTAATGTCTTATATCCACCGCCATCATGAACCTAAAAGACTGAGCTATTGAAAGGTAGCATCACATAATCAAAACCAGAAGAAGAAAAACCAAAACTAGAAATATGCTTGAAAATTATCTTGATAGTTGATCAGGCAAAGACAGAAAAAGTAACAGAAAACAACACAGAAAATGGGTTACATTATTTGGTGAAAAGGTATGTATTCCATATGTTTGCAGTTCCCCACATGAGGAATTAGGGTAGAAAGATTAGAAAACAGGATTTGGGGACTGAAGTAATGGTATAGCAGGCAAGGTGTTTGCCTTGCATGTTGCTGGCGAGGATTCAATCCCTGGCACCCCATCTGGTCCCTCAATCCCACAAGGAGTGACTCCTGAGTGCAGAGTCAGGAATAACCACTGTGTGTCAGTGGATGGACCACCAAACAAGAAAAACACAGAATTTTCGGAAACGTTTTAAAGCTGTCAGCCTACTATGACAGTTTTGTGAACCTTGCAAGCAGGTTAAAGGAAATAGTATCTTATTGCATTTGGCTGTTGAAAACAGAAGATAAAAATAACGGAAATACAACTGTTTTTGTTACATTGCAAGTTGTGTGAGCTAGAACACAAGGGATGGACCTGAAAACTCTGATTTAAAATTTCTCAATTTAAGTAGTTGAGGATATGATCTTCAATTCCTGAATTCAATATCTGGTCTCACATGCATCTCCCCTCCCGCACACATTGCAAGTGCTTCAGGCATGAGCCAAGCAACTAATACATTCTCAACTTATATATATTTCTATGAATGTATAAACAAGATCCTATAAAAAGTCCACATGAAGATGTTACCAAGTCAAATATCAGAGAATTGAATACGAAAAGATGCACTAAAAATACTAAAGGGAGATCTTAAAAGAAAAGGACTGTAATATCAGACAGACAATGGAAAGGGATTTGAGAACAAAAAGGTGACAATATAAGTACAAATAGACTATTAGAAACATTAAAAATGAGGTTTTGAATATGTATAGACTAAAATGCATGACATCTCAGTGAGAAGATGGAGTTAGCAAATATTGCTATGAATTCAGGAATAATTGGGGAAAACTAGTGGAAAAAAGAATGACTTGTCTGGATTGGATGGTGCAATATCCAACAACTACTAAACTTTGATAAAACATTTGTAAATTAAGATGGAAATGAAATACTAAATCACTTGTATCACTTGTCATCCCGTTGCTCATTGATTTGCTCCAGCAGGCACCAGTAATGTCTCCATTCGTCCCTGTCACGTGCTGGTGTAGCCCAATGGCGTCTGCTCACTCCAGGAACACAAAGTGAGACCTATCATTGTTACTGTTTTTGGCATATCGAATATGCCACAGGAAACTTGCCAGACTCTGTTGTATGGGTGGATTAGATACTCTTCGTAGCTTTCCAGGCTTTCTGAGAGGGATGGAGGAATCGAACCCGGGTCGGCCGAGTGCAAGGCAAATGCCCTACCCTCTGTGCTATCGCTCCTCCTGGAATGTAATCATGACTGTTAAAATAGAAGAATAAAATAAAAACTGAAATGGTAGAAACAAAAAGTAAATAGATTAGCCATTATATAACAACATGTGAATAAGCAATAAAATTAAAATCAAGGCAAGCAAGATTTACAAAACAAAACTATATGCTACTTATAAAAGACTTTCAAAATGAAGTCAGAAGTTGAAAATACAAGAATATATTTTAGACTGCATTCATTTGTGGTATATAAAAAATATATATAAATATTAGGAGACTAATATCCATGGTCAGGGTAAACAGGTACCAAGAAGACTGGTCAATAGTTGGAATCAACCACAACAACCACAACTGTGGGTTGTGTGGGCAGAGGGTAGGTAAGACAGGAAAGGTGCCAGAATGACAACAGTCGCTAGAAATGATCATTTTGGACAAGAACTGAGTAGGTAAAGGGAGATACACAACCTCGCAGCATCTGTCTTGCAAACCACAGTGCCCAGAATGGTGGGAGGAGGTGGGGAGTTCAGGGAAGAAAAGTACCTGCCCTAGAGGCAGGCTGGAGGTGAGTATGGGAGGGAAACTGGGGATACTGACTGGTCTGGAAAACTACACTGATGGAGGGGTGGGTGTTAGAACACTGTATGACTGAAACTTATCTGTGAACAGCTTTATAAGGGTTTACCTCACAGTGATTCAATTAAAAAATCTTTAAATATATAGTAATCTAGAAAGGTGAAAAGAGTACAAATCTTTTATTTTCGTTTAGGCCTAGTGATAGCACAGAAGGTAGGGTGCTTGCCTTGTATGCACATGACCTGGGTTCAATTCCCCTGTTACTGCATCAGGTCCTCAAGCGTTAACAGGAGTGATCCCTGAGCACAAAGCCAGGAATAAGCCTTGAATGCTAGTTGTGGCCCCCAAAGCAACAACAACAAAAAGGTAGGAGAAAAGAGATAGCTCAGAGGTCCGGGGCACTTGTCTTATGTGTGCAAGACCTCAAGTTCAATCCCTGCCACCACATGATACCTGAGCACTGCTGGGGTGCTCTTGGTGATGCTTGGCATCACTGGACTCTGAGCAGTATTTTTTTTGCCAGACCCTTGGATTGAACTGTTCAGTCCTTTGATCAAGTAGTACTAGAAGGGTCCTCCAAGCAACAAAAAAAAGTACAAATAGGGCGTTTACCTGCTGCCAACCTGGTTTCTAGCCTCAGCATCCCAGAGTACCCCAAGAATGAATTCATGAGTGCAGAGCCAGGAGTAACCCCTAACGATTGCTGTGTATGACCCAAAAAAATTTTTTTAAAAATGTAAGGGAGAGTAAAACCAGGAGATTTCAAAAAGTGAGCTTTCATGATTAAAAATTATTTTCGCTATAAATCATGTGCATTAATGTGCTAGATATTTTAAGTGAATATTGTCAAGTGTCTAAATACTTGCCACCGCCAGAATCAAGGTACAGAGCCTTTTCACTACTCCTAAGAGTTCTCTTATTATCACCGTCATGAACCTCCTTAATCTTGTTTCCAGATTACTACTTGCAGGGGTGGGGGGTGGGGGGGAGAGAATGGGACACACCTGATCTTCTTGGCTCTGTGCTCTGGAGTGAGCCCTGGCAGTGGTGCTCAGGGTCCCATATGTGATACTGGGAATTTGAACCAGTCATTCATATGTAAGGTGGTAAGCTTACTAACCTCTGTAATTTCTCTGGTCCTCAACTCTCAAGATGACTTAAGAGATTTTTGACTTAAAGAAGAGTGATAGACCTTAGGGATGTTTTCACATTTAGAACTATAACAGTGTGGGATCAAAGAGAATTGTGGTACTTAATAGTTATATGACTTGACACCATAGATCTAAGACTTGGAGGAAGATAGAAATTGTAACAAGCAGTGAAACGGTCTTGTGTGTAATGAAAAGTAAAGCAAAGCAGTATTTGTGCATTCTGATTTTGGCATTCCTATGCCTTTTAATGAAGCAAGGTAGTTTTTATTGAAATTTCTTTAGAAAGATATGAGGGGAGAGGGAGTTAGAGAGAAAACACAGGAAGAGAGGAAAGAAGAAGCAAAGAAACAGATCCTTTTCAGCTTTATCAGTAGGATGATTGTGTGTTCACACATTTGTTTGATGTGCCTCCCTTAAATCTTGTATGACATAGGCACATTGCCCATCTGACATGAGCGGGAAATAAGCAAGCAAGATACATATTCAAGAGAGAACGTGGGCTTGAAGAGCAGGCCTCCTAATGGTTTTTCTTTCTTTTTTGTTTTTTTTTCTTTTTGCTTTTTGGGTCATACCCGGCAATGCACAGGGGTTACTCCTGGCTCTGCACTCAGGAATTACTCCTGGCAGTGCTCCGGGGACCATATGGGATGCTGGGAATCGAACCCGGGCCAGCCGCGGACAAGGTAAACTGTCCTACCCACTGTGCTATCTCTCCAGCCCTCCTAATGGCTTTTAGATCGGGGATTTTTTTTTCTTTTTCTTTTTCTTTGTTTTTTTTTTGTTTGTTTGTTTGTTTTGGGGCCTCAGCAGAGTTCAGGATTTAGTTTTGTCTCTACGCATAGGGATCACTTTTGGCAGGGCTTGGGCCATATAGAGTGCCAGGGATCAAATCTGTGTCACCTGAATGCAAGCGGGCACTGTACTACCTGCTGTATATCTCTGCAGCTCCTGAGAACGGGGATTCTTATTGGAGGAAAAAGCAGCAGCATATAAAGCTAACTTTTTAAAAAATAGATTTATCTAGGTCCAGAAAATGACAAGTGGCTTAAGGCACTTGCCGACACTGGTGTAAACTGTGATCCTGTCCAAAAGCAGGTCTGGAGATCCCCAGTGAGAAAGGGCTGGAAGATGGATGATGGCTCACAGTGGTTTAGCCAGTATCTAACGCAGGCTTGAGACCATGAGTTAGCTTTCCAGGTGGTGCTGCCATGTCCTACAATGTGATGACCCTGACTGCCTCGTGGTTTGACTCCCCAGCCAGGAGCAACAAGCAAATTTATTCTCCGTTCCTAAATATAAACAGAAATGCTTCATCTGGACACAAAAGATTTTTTATAGCTGTATTAATATATATGTTTAAATTTTATATCTGTCCACTGAAGTGGTCTGTCAGCTTTCAGTAAGCTTTCCTACTCCTAAATTGTGGTCTTGAAGAAACCATTTGCACCTTAAGGAAATCAATCTTCTTCCTTGGAGATTTCTGGCTGAGACTAGAAAAATGTACAAGATGAACTTGGTAATATCTTCTCTTACAGAGGATAAAAGGTAGTCTGCAAAGATGAGTAAGTTTCTTTTAAGAAAAATTTGTGTTAACTGGAAGAGTCATTGACCAAAGAGGAGACAGTTTGAATCTTAATAAGAAAAATAACTGGTGGATTAAACATCTCAAATTCGTGAGTTCTTAGTGAAACAGAAAATCATTGGTTATATTAAAAGTGTTTAAAAAAAAACTGCTTAAAAAAAAAGTGGTTGCTCTTGTTATATAAGCAATACTACTGGGTTACCAGTGCTTGATGAAGCCAGGCATCTCTTTGTAGATTTCAGCACATAAACAAGAAGGGGAATAATATAGTTTTCCAGTCCCCAATCAATAAATACAGGCACTGAGTATATGAAGAAACAGTTAAAAAACTGGGTACTACTTGATGGAAACTGACATAATTTTACTGAGTAAATGAACCTGCATTTTGGATAAGCATTTAGTGTGAAGATTGACTTGGTTTTCTATAGAGATCTAGATAGTAGGCCTTCTGAGGACGGGGGGAGTAGCAGAGGGGGGGCTTGCAGGTAATCTTTGTCACAAGTACTCGGCTCTGCCGTTTTAGCAAAAACCAGACTTAAAGAATATATAAACAACTTGGCGAATCATGTGCCAGTAAAAATAATCAGTGAATTAAGGGTGTTTATTTTTTACCTTTGCTCAAAGCCAGCAGTCAATTTAATGGAAATAAAGATGTCAGAAAGCACAATTTAAACTACACTTTGGGTACTTCATGGAAAGTATCATGCTAAGTGAAATGAGTCAGAAAGAGAGGGACAGACATAGAAAGATGGCATTTATATATAAAGTAACAAAATAGGAGACTAACACCCAAGAATAGCCGAGATAAGTACCAGGAGATTTACTCCGTGACTTGGAGGCCAGCCGCACATGCTAGGGGAAAAGGCAGCTCAGATAGAGAAGGGAGCACCAAATAAAGGGTGTTGGGAAGATCCGCCCAGGATGGGAGATGCATGCTGAAAGTAGACTATAGACCAAACATGATTTCCACTCAATGCCTCTTTTGCAAACCACAGCACTCAAAAGGAGAGAGAGAACAAAAAGAAATGCCCTGCCACAAAGACAGGGTGGGCTGGGGGGAAGAGGGGTGGGAGGGATACTGGGATCATGGGTGGTGGAGAATGGGCACAGATGGAAGGATGGGTACTCGATCATTGTATAACTGAAACCCAAGCACAAAAATTTGTAAGTCTACAACTGTACCTCATGGTGTTTCACTAATAAAAATTTTTTACAAATAAAAAATAAAAATAAATAAAATAAACTACACCTTGGGGGTGCAGATATAAAAATCAATACTTTGGGAAATAGAAGAAATGATGAGTTTCTTTGAATTGCAAGATAAAAAAAGATTCTATGGGAATTTGTAGTCTTTTAAACAGACAAGTATTTCCATCTGGTTAGGAAGGTAGGAAAATATGATATGACTGAAGAAAATTGAGGAAAATACCTATCTTGGGAGTGAGTGAACAGTTGTGATTGGAATAGAATGTGTCAAAAGTTTTGAGATAATGGAACGTTCTGTCTTTTGTCATGATTGGTGGTTACAAGGATATGTGCCTATATGTAATGGGTTAACTATACATTTATGCAGTTTCCTACATTTAAGTTTTATTAAATACTTGTGTATTTTATTAAAATTTTTCAAAGAAAAGAATAAAAAGATGAAGTCAGTAAGTAGTGATGACCAGAAAAGCAAAGGTACAGAATACATTACTAAGTATTACTAAGAATTCTAAGTTTGCATGTTCCCAGTAACTAGCTTCAAAAATATAAAGCAAAAGTTGACAGATTAAAGAACATATGTAATTTCGATCATAGCAGGAAAGTTTGAAGAAGCATTTGCAAATAGATATAATGTATGTCTTAAAAATATGACTTGTGTTTGGAAGACATTGATAAAAGTAATTTATTTATGGAAACATAATATTATTGAAAGTATGTCTAAACCTTTGGACACTCAATTATTTTGTCTTTAAATGTTTAAGTTTTCTTACTAGTTAACAATGAAATCTCCAGTTTTTTCCCTGTTACTGTAAACAATAACAATGATTGCAGTAATATCATTCTAATTTGAAAATAGACAAAATTCAGTGAGTTTGTAAACTGACTTAATCATTTGAACAGGACTATGTATTGTTGTCAAAGGTTAATCTTTCTTCCTTTCTCAAACAGGGGTACCGAAGGAAAATTAAATGACTGCCAGATAACATTCGTAAATGAAATCTTCAAGATTGAGAAACCTGGAGCTCATCCTCTCTCGTTAGCAGATGGAAAGTTTTTAAGTATGAATTTTTCTTACAGGTTTAGACTGACATACATGATTGAAATTTGTCTTGGGGATACTTTTGGAAAAGTATAAAATAGTATCATTGTATCAGAAGAACTTATTTTCCAAGACAACTTTTTTTGGGAGTCTAAAATTGTTTTTATTTAATAACTTTTCCAAATGATAAACTCTTTTCCAAGAAATATTCTTCTAATCTTGACATTTTATGGACATTTTCTTAGCAATTTTTCCTGTTACAGAATGTCTAAATTAAAAACCCTATTGTTAACAGTATTGTAAATCCTGGTGCATTCAGTAAAAAAGTAGTAAAATTTAAAAGTGAACCATCTGTTATTTTTCCATCATTCAGATTTTTGTTGTTGTTGATTTTCAACCACACTTGACAGTGCTCAGGGTAACTACCAGCTTCGTGTTTCGGGTGGTGCTTGGTGGACCATGTAATGTCTGGAGTTGAATCCAGGGTCCTGCCACCAGCAAAGCAGGTGCTGTACACCTTTGATCCATCTCCCCTGGCACACAAATTTTTTTTTAATAATTAAATTTTTATTTTGGTTTTGGGCCCCACCTGTGGCACTTAGGGGCCACGTCTGGCAGTCCCTGGGGAATCATGTGATGCTGGGATTTGAACCAGGGTCATGTCCCCAGCCCCATGACAGGCAGGATCCTAACCTTTGTATTCTTTCTGGTTTTACAAAACTTATTATGTCAGTGCAGTTAAGAATGATGCTGAGTGTGCCTCAAGTTTCTGGGACATAATCATAATATTCTACTGTAGCCTTACCTTTTTATTATACATATTTAATAGTTATAGTACTAGATCCTAGGCATTTTTTTTTGTTCACGTGCCTCAGAATCTTTCCAAATAGATTACAGTATCTGACTCTGATAGTTCCATTCTTTTTAGGCAGCCCAGTACCATACCAATGCTTAGTTAATTCTGCAAGGAAATAACTTCTTACCATAGTGTTTCAACATTAGAAGTAGACAACAAAGATCCTTTTCCCTCTATACATTTGGGGCCACTCTCAGCCATGTACTTAGTGGCTACTCCTGAAATGGTGCTTGGTGGTTTCTCTTGGTAGGAACCATGTAATACCGGAGAATTAGACTTCCTGCCTTATGCAGTGCATTACGTCCATGGAGCGATGGCAAAGATCTTTAATGGGCCAATAAATAGACTTCATGTTACTCATCTGTATAAGTTGTTATCATTTTTTTTCAATGCTAATATACCTATGTTTGAATAAAGAACACGAAAGCATATTTTCTATAATTATTTAAATGGTTATATCCTAGGAATAAAAACTTAATAAGTAAATTTATTTCATGTGACAGACATTTTTAATAAAGCACTATAAAAAGCCATGATTAGCAAGGCTTATCTTACGTCCTTGTGGGGTTTTTTTATTGTTTGCATATTTTTATTCTTTGCCTAAAACTAATCACATAGCTATACTTTTGTTATTATTTTTTAAATTTTAATTTGAGGGTGGTTTGCACCATACTGAGTGATAGTGGTAGGTCATGTGGTGCCAGAGATTGAATTCCTGAGTCAGCTGGATGCAAGACAAGAGCCTGCACCTCTTTTCTCTATGGTCCATAGCTATGCCTTTAAACTTCTTTCTAAGGAAAGCATTTCAGGGACCAGAGCAATGGTACAGCGGGTAGGGCATTTGCCTTGCACAAAGCCAACCCAGGTTCGATCCCCAGCATCCCATATGGTCCCCAGAGCACCGCCAGGAGTAATTCCCGAGTGCATGAGCCAGGAGTAACCCCTATGCATTGCCGGGTGTGACCCCAAAAGCTAAATAAATAAATAAATAAATAAATTCTGTGTAATTTCCTATTTGAATTCAGTATACCTGCCTACCTCTCTGTTGTGATTTAATTTTTAAGTTCAGTAAAAAATAATTTGGCAAAATGTGTTTTGGTTTAAATGAGGTGTGGTGGACGATAATTGTTACCTTTTTCTAGAGTTCTGAACCAGCAACAAGAAAATAAAAATCAAGTGAGTGGGCTGGAAAGATAAAGATGCTTGCCCAGTGATAAAGATGCTTGATAAGCAAATGCCTGCAGCTTGGTTCGCATCCCAATTCCCTGAGCACCCCTAGGTGTGGCTCCAGGCGTAAACCAAAACAAACTGAGAACTCAGCTGAGTGAGGCCAGGAAAGAGCCCAGGAGTGCATGCATTGCATACCTTAGGGCCAAGGTTTGACCCCAAGCACCACATGACCTCCTGGGCATCACTTCGCATAGCTGTAGGGGCCTCCAAGTTCCTCCAGGTGTGACCCTAGAGGCCTCCCAGCACTGCCAGGTGGTCCTGGGCACCACAGAGAGCAATTAGCTCCACATCCCCACACTCCAGCATTGACCTGCTTGATCTGGTGGTCTAAGTATTGCTTCAGGTGGTCCCCAGGCCTCCTCAGAACCGCTTGGGGAACCCATCTTCATTCCTGTTTACTGAGGCCAGAGAGATAATAAAAGGTGCAAGGCACTTGGCACTTGTTTTTCATTCAGGCAGCCTGGTTTGATACCTGGCACTGCATATGGTCCCCTAGCTCTGCTCATGAGTGATCAGGAGCACTGCTACACGTGGCTCACGCCCCCCAAAAAATGAAAAGTAAAAGAAATACTGCTGTTACTAGTAGAGAGTATGTTCGAGGCGTAGCTATATAGAAACCAAAGTTGCCCTGCTAACTCAACAGCTCTCTCCCTCTCCTAGCTCTGACTACCCATGGAAAGGTCTTGATCTGTAACTTTGTTCAATAGGTGTCATTTTATTTCCCTCCAAATGGCGCCCTAGTGATTTCTCTGCTTTGCTCCTTTACGTCATGGTGCACATTATGGAGTCCAAGTCAATACAGATAACATTTTTGTTTGAGGGACAACATGGTGCAGTGGCTCAAGCCCAGGGCTCCTGCTTGCAAAACTTGCCTTTCATATCTGGGGGGCAGAGCTATAGCAAAGCAAGTAGAGCTCTTGCCTTGGATTTGGCTGATGTGGGTTTGATCCCCTGGCCCTCATATGGTTCCCTCACACCACCAGGAGTAATTCCTAAGGGCAGAGCCAGGAATAACCCCTGAGCCCTGGCAGGTGTGGGCCCCCCCAAAAAAAATCTGTCTTTGAAAACAAACAGTTTTTAAGACAAAGGGGAATACTAGTCCTCATGCTTGTGGGTCATTAGATTGATCACTGTTAGATGCCTGGCTCCAACCCTAAAAATATAATTCATCAATCTTGTATGCAGTTCAGGAATTAACTGTTCTGGGCGTCACAGTGGGGACAGGAAGGGCACTTATGTCATGCCAAGATCAAACCCAGGCCTTGCATATGTAAGTCATGTGCTTTGCTACTCGTCATTCTCCACTACCCCCACCTCATTTATTCTGGAAAGTTCCATACATGATGTTTCCTTATGAGTCCTTTATTAATAGAACTGTACACCATTTTTGACTTTTTAAATACAATAGTGACCTTAAGATGGAGATTGCTATAACTTTGTTCTTAATAGGGAAAAATGACCCTGAATGTGATTCTTGTGGTGGAGACCCAGACAAGAAATGCCATTCTTGCTCCTGCCGTACGTGTGGTGGGAAACAGGAACCCAATATGCAACTTCTATGTGATGAATGTAACATGGCATATCACATCTACTGCCTGGACCCACCTTTGGAGAAGATCCCTGAAGAAGAATACTGGTATGATGATCAAGAATTTTCACTGTGACTGTATTAAGAATTGCATTTTTAAAATAATACCCTTGAACTAATAGAAGATTTCTGTAAGTAGTGTGAAAGTGGTTCTTTATGTATAAAGTGGGTAGCCATCTTATACTTAGGAATTGATACTTTGATTATTATAATAGTTTATAAACTGTTAGTTACTCTAGTTCTTCCTTAACCTGGAATATTTGTTCTTTCAAATATAAATCAGTCGTATTATTTTGGAGACTTGATACTACCTTTTAGTGCTGAACACAGTGTCTTTGACTTAATATTTCTACCTGTATACCTTTTATCCTTCCCTCCCTTTCTTCCTTTCCTTTCCTTTCCTTTCCTTTCCTTTCCTTTCCTTTCCTTTCCTTTCTTTTTTTTTTCCTGATGTTCAGGCCTTCCTCTTGGCTCTGCAATCAGGGATCATTCCTGATGGCGCTTGGGTCATATGGTGTGCCAGGGATTGAACCCAGGATGCCAGCCTTCAAGGCAAATGCCCCACCCATTGTACTGTTCCTCCAGCCCCTGGCTGTATGCCTTTTTAATTAATTTATTTGGGGGAGGGGGAGTCCAGACCTATGATACTCAGGGATTTCTCTTGGCTCTGTGCTCAGAGCATGAACCCTGAAGTAACTGAGGAGCCATACGTGGGGCTGGAAACTGAACTCGGGTCACCTGCATACAAAACAAGTGCCATACCTGCTGTCCTACCTCTCTGGCTATTTATGTGTGTGTGTGTGTGTGTGTGTGTGTGTGTGTGTGTGTGTGTGTGTATAATTTCTTTTGAAGCCACACTTGGCAGTGCTCATAACTATGTAAATATTTTGTAAGCTTAATACTTTGAAGCTCTTAAAGCACTAAAAATTTTTTATCTTAAAAATGGTTTTTACATAAATAGGCCATTCCATTATTGGTTTTAATGTTGTATTAACACATTTTCTTTTTTCCCTTTTTTTTCTTTTGTATTTGGGCCACCCCTGGCAATACTTGGGGGTGATTCCTGGCTCTGTGCTCACTAATCACTCATGGCAGGGCCCTGGGGAACCATACAGGATGCCAGGGATGAAACTCAGGTCAGCTGCTTGCAGAAGCAACACCTTGCCTGCTTTACAATTGCTCTGTACTAAAGGTGTGTTACCTATGTTACCATATCTCTTCAGCCCCATTAACAAATTTTCTTATTTTTTCTTTCAAAGGTATTGTCCGTCCTGTAAAACTGATTCCAGTGAAGTTGTAAAGGCTGGTGAAAAACTGAAAATGAGTAAAAAGAAAGCTAAGATGCCATCAGCTAGTACAGAAAGCCGGAGAGACTGGGGCAGGGTAAAAAAAAGACGTTGCATTTTCTTTCTAATTATAATGTTTATAACAGCAATGCAAGTTATGTTTCAGTACTAGTGGTGACATTGAAATTAGTGATGATTGCCAACAACATTAACAAATAACTATTATTTAATTACATAATTTATACTGTTAATTTGATATGTGTGTTAATTATATAATAATTATGTTATTCAAAAGTAACTGGGCTTCTACTTTAGTCGCATTTTAGGGGAGCTAAGTAAGGGCTTTCCTTTTTATCACTGAATTACAAAATTGCAAAGATATTTATGATTGATCTTTCTTAGGCATATATTGTTCTAACATCAGTCCCTTCACCAGGGAACTCACTGCCCTCCACCAGTGTCCCCAGCTTCTCTCCTACCTCGCAGCCTGCTTCTGTGGCAGGCACTTTCCCCTCCCCCATAGTCTTAGTGTTCCCTTCCCCAACTTGCTCCCTTACTCCTGCCCCAGTGCCAAGCTTCCTGCCGAAGACCAATTCTCCTGCTCTTCATTTCTGTTGCCATTGGGCATTTGATACTCCCTCAGGAGATTTCTTCATATCTACACATGACATATATCATTCTGAGTCTTCCTCTCCCTCTGACTGATTTCACTAAACGTGATTCAGCAAATTGCATGACTGTATCTTTTATGAAGGCTGCATAGTAACCCATTGAGTGTATGTACCCTGGTTTCTATATCCAGTTATCTGTTTATGGACACGTGTGTTGTTTCCGTGATTGGGCTAATATAGTGCTACAGTCACTAGGACTACAGATGTATTTTTCTAATTTGTGCTTTTGGGCCATTGGGGTATATTCCCAGGAGTGCAATTGCTGGGTCATATGGAATCTTTCTTTAAGATTTAACCTAACTGATTTCTCAAAAAGCTTGTTCTTTGATTTATAGGGAATGGCCTGTGTTGGTCGTACTAAAGAATGTACTATTGTTCCTTCAAATCATTATGGACCTATTCCTGGGATTCCTGTTGGATCAACATGGAGATTTAGAGTTCAGGTACTTTTATTTTTTTGGCTTAGTCAAAAGGGTAAAATTTCAAATTGTACCAGTGTCATTCTGTTGATTATCAGTGCTCTAACCTAGATAGTATCACATGGCATTTGGTTGTTACAATTAAAATTTTTCTTTTTCTTTTTTTTTTGGGGGGGGGGGTGGAGTGTACCTGGCTGTGCTCGGGGATCACTTCTGGTGAGGAACAGGGTACCATAGAATGTGCCAGGGATTGAACCCACCCACATGCAAGGCAAGTGCCCTACCCACAGTACTATGTCTCTGGCCCAGTGAAAGATTTTATTTTATTTATTTATTTTTTTCTTGACATTCTTCACCACCAAAAACTCCAGTATACCCCCCATCCCACACCCTTCCCCTACCTGTGGGGCAGATGATTTCCACATTACTCTCTCTCTACTTTGATTACATTCAATATTTCGACACTAGACCTACCATTATTATTTGGGATTTTACCCCAACACTCAGATCTGCCGAAAAGGCAACCGTAGTTAATTTGTTTTCTATTGCTGATTATGAATAACATGATGTCACATGGCCACAGTGTGGCCACACAATTTTGGAATTCCAAAATTTTAGCAATTAAATCTGGAGGGATTTCTGCCAAAACCTGCTGGGTTCTGAGATTTGTTCCCGAGTCTCTGGGATTATGGCTGTTACACAGCTTGACCAGGAGCCAGAGAGGCCGTTCATGGTGGTGACCCAGAGTCTCGTTGTGGCGGGGAGGAAAGGGCCGGTTCCACCCTCATCCTGTGAGGCCCTGCATGTCTGGTCACTGCGGGCCCAAACCTGACTGTCCAATGGCTTCTGAAGGATGGTGGCCACCAAGCCGCCAGGTGGAATAGGCCAAAGCACAAAACCTATATCCAGCTGGGGTGACTGGCACCATTAACCTACTGTGGGGACAGAGGCATTTCTGTCAAAAGTCGCTGGGTTCCGAGATTTGTTTCTGAGTCTCTGGGATCATGGCCGTTAAGCAGCTTGAATAGGAGCAGAGAGGCTGTTCGTGTGCGGTGAATTAGGGTCTCGTTGGGGTGGGGAGGAATGGGCTGACTCCACTCCAATACCATGAGACCCCATGTGTCTAATCACTGAGGCCCCAAACCTGACTGTCCAATGGCCTCTGGAGGATGGTGGCCACCAAGCCACCAAGAAGAGGAGGTGGAGGGACAGCACCCTTTCCGCCCTGGGGTGGCCTGGTGCTGGTAACTTACTGCGGGGACCGGACGCATTTCTGTCAAAAGCCACTGGCTTCTGAGACCTGCCTCTAGGTTTCTGGGGTCATGACCATTAAGCAGCTTGATCAGGAACCAGAGAGGCCTTGCCTCCAATTATATAGCTGAGCTGGAGGTGGTATGTAGGTGTGTCTCCCACATACCTAACTTTTGGCCATTTACTTTCTTGGTAAACTTGGCCGCAAGTTGTTGGGGTCTGTCCAAAGGTACAGCAGCAATTTGGGGGTATCTAGAAGTCTAAAGGCACCACCAGGCTGCTGATGCACTCGCCTCACAGGTACAGATTGACCTGCTGGCGGCACCATATCCCCACCAATGAAAGATTTTCTTAAGAATGACAAGGTCTCCCTGAGAGGAACATACCTCAGGGAATTAACAAAGCATCAACTATGCCTTTCATAACTTTATTTTTTTATTACAGCTAAGGTATTTAATATTATTGTTAAGCTTTTTGTATAGTTCTGCCAAGGAATTTTTTTTTAAGTTTAAAAAAATCATTAGGGGGCAGAGTGGTAGAACAGCAGGTAAGGTGTTTGTCTTGCACAGAGCCTATCTGGGTTTAATTCTCAGCACCCCATCTAATCACCTGAGTCCTCCAGGAGTGATCCTTGAATGCAGTCAAGAGTAAGCTCTGAGCATCACTGGGTGTGACTCCCCCCCAAAAAATGGGAGCTTGAATTCAAGAACCAAATTATCAAAATATTAAGCCTTTTAGTGCTTTTTCATTTACTGAGATTGAACTTTAAGAAAGCTTTCAACCTCAGGTGTATTCTTAGGGACTTACTCTCCTAAATAAAAGTTAACATAAATACTGACTAAAGGAAGTGCTAAAAAAAAAACCAAAGATAAGATTATTTCTTTTTACCCCTTTGAGTAGTGCTAATATATTTAGGTAATTTCATCAAGATTAATTACTGTGGGGTGGGGGAAGAAGCCTACTTAAAGCAGTATAGTTTCCGATTAGAAATTATTAAATTTTTAATAATCATTGAGTTACTCTTATTGATATTTTTAATAATGTTTTAAAATTAAAGTAATGTAATATATGTACATTGCTAGAAAATTTGAATATTAGTATATGGTTTATGTGTTTAAGACCCATTCTCCATTGCATCTTTAATATTTTTCTTAATCAGACAATGATATATGATAAGCATTTTAAAAATGTAACTCAACTAACTTTTTAAAGACATTTTGACTCTCTTTACTTCATTTGTAGGTGAGCGAAGCTGGTGTCCATAGGCCTCATGTTGGGGGGATTCATGGTCGAAGTAATGATGGCGCTTATTCTCTTGTCCTGGCTGGAGGATTTGCAGATGAAGTAGTAAGTTTTAATACCACCTTTATAACCTATTCTTTTGATTCTGTTTGTTTAAGGACTGAAGTTTGAATTTTAATGATGAACTTAATGTATTAAACTACAGATGTATACCTGACATCTCTATAAAGTTGCATTCTATTTTATTTTTAGTTTTTGAGCCATATCCGGTGGTGCTCAGAACTTAGTCCTGTACATGTGCTCAGGGATCACTCCTGGCAGTGCTTGGGGGAATCATGTGGTGTGTACCGTGGTTGGCTTGTCAGTAAGGCAAGCTTAATGTACTATTTCTCTGGCTCCTATCTGTATGTTGCACTGTACCTCTGCCTTCCCATTGTTCATCGATTTGCTTGAGAGGGCACCAGTAACGTCTCCATTGTGAGACTTGTTGTTACTGTTTTTGGCATATCGAATACACCATGGGGAGCTTGTGAGGCTCTGCCATGCAGGTAAGATACTCTCAGTAGCTTGCCACTCTCCAAGAGGGACAGAGGAATAGGTCGGCCACGTGCAAACGCCCTACCCACTGTGCTATTGCTCCATTAGCTGGAGCAATAGCACAGTGGGTAGGGCGTTTGCCTTGCATGTGGGTTTGATCCTGGGTTCCATTCCCAGCATCCCATATGGTCCCCCCAAACACCGCCAGGAGTAATTCCTGAGTTCATGAGCCAGGAGTAACCCCTGTGCATCGCTGGGTGTGACCCAAAAATAAAAAAAAAATGCAGACATGGGCTCCAATATAATGTTTTAAAACAATGTTACTTCAAGGGAAGGTTTTGAATGATACTATATTGGGTAGGGTGCTTGCCTTGTACATGGTCGAATCAGGTTTAATGCCAGGCACCCCATAAGGTCTCCTGTGCACATCCAGAAGTGATTCTTGAGAGCAGAGCCAGGAGTAACTCTGAATACCACTGGATGTGGCCAAAAAAAAAAAAAATCTAGGATAGGAGGGTGGGAAGAACCTGTCTTGATCATTCAGTAAAATACAGAGGTTTGGGTTCTTTGTTTTGTATAACTTTATGTTGCTATAAAGATTTGAGGTGTAGAGGAATTAATGACTGAATTTTAAATTTTCACTTTTTGTTTATTGACTGCTTGGAGAATAATTCAAAATATTTTTGCCTGTTTCAAATGCTATCTGTGTAGCTTAACTTGCCTCTACTGTGCCCTCCTACTCCACACTGCTTTTGCCTTTGGGCTGGAGCGTTAGCACAGCAGGTAGGACATTTGCGTTGCACGCAGCTGACCTGGCTAACCCAGGTTCGACTCCTCCGCCCCTCTCGGAGAGCCCAGCAAGCTACTGAGAGTATCTCGCCCGCACGGCAAAGCCTGGCAAGCTCCCCGTACATATTCGATATGCCAAAAAAAGTAACAAGTGTCACAATGGAGACGTTACTGGGCCCGCTCGAGCAAATCGACGAACAACGGGAGTGACAGTGACAGTGACAGAACTCCAACATTATATCTTTAAAAGTCAACAGGGTGGGAGAAACATGCTGAAAGTAGACTATAGACCAAACATGATTGCCACCCATTGCCTCTTTTGCAAAACACAACACCCAAAAGGAGAGAGAGAGCAAAAGGGAATGCCCTGCCACAGAGGCAGGGTGGGATGGGGGTGTGAGGGGGAGGGATATTGGAATCCGTGGTGGTGGAAAATGGGCACTGGTGGAGGGATGGGTATTTGATCATTGTATAATTGAAACCCAAGCACAAAAATATGTAAGTCTACAACTGTAACTCATGGTGTCTCACTAATAAAAATTCAAAAAAATCATTCAGTTGCAATTATTCCAAATTTGTAATAATGTGAACCAAAGGAATAAAGGAACAGAATAAAGGAATAAACAACAACAAAAAAGTCAACAGGGTAAAGTCTGAGCATTGTGAAGCAAGTCCAGATAACATTTGAAGTATTGTTTCTGATCAATTTCAGAAGTGCCTTAGACTGTTCTAGATGTATTTAATTATTAGAATTCCTTTAGACCAAGTGCAGAGCAAAGGTTAAAACATTCAATTGCTCGGACTGGAGAGATAGCACTGTGGGTAAGGCACTTGCCGTACTCACAGCCAACTTGGGTTTGGTCCCCAGCATCCTTTATGGTCCCTTGAGCTCTGCCAGGAGTGATTTCTGAGTACAGAGCCAGGTGTGGCCCAAAACCTTTTTGTTTTGCTTTTTGGGTCACACCCAGTGATGCTCAGGGGTTACTCCTGGCTTTGCACTCAAGAATCACTCCTGGCGGTGCTCTGGGGACCATATGGGATGCTGGGAATCCAACCTGGATTGACCATGTGCAAGGCAAACGCCCTACCCGCTGTGCAATTGCTCCAGCCCCGGCCCAAAATCTTTTAAAAAAGAATTTAATTCCTTAGTCTTTAGAGTGCACACCTCAAAAGTGGAGCTACAGAAAGTGAACTCAAGTTCTTTTGGCAGATAGAGATATGTTTAAAGCCATGAAATCTTATTTATGCCTTTACTTTAAAGGAAAAGCAAGATGAAAAATAATTGACCATTAATATCAGCGACATTTAGAGAGAGAACTTCATGTCTCCAGCTCATTCTGAACTTATTAAAATAATCTTAGAATAAATGTTACCTCGCTAGTGTTTGTAGAATCAATATGTGAACTGTTAATTACTTTTAACTGTAATTTAGTGCTGAATTGAGTAGAGAAAATCAATGTAAATCTGTTAGCTATTACAGAAATACTATGGTACTATATAATATTTGTGGAATATTTAGAGTTTATGTAACTTTTTAACTTCAGGGGATTTTAAAAATATTTTGTACAACTTTTCATATTATTTTCAATTATATTTTACTTGAATGTGATTTGAGTAAACGTATAAAATGTTCATTGTGGGAACTTATTGCTGTTGGAACTTAAAATTTAGGACGAACTTAATTATGGTATAGATCAATATTTCTCAACTATGTGATCCCCTGTGTTTTCCTATGATGTTCCAAAGGAGTCACAACTCACATAAATGGGGGACTATGGCATGAGATTAGGAAGTCAAGTAGGGACCAGGGTCCACAAGAAGGATAGAAAAACGTTCAGATCAGGGCCACAATCAAAGAAAGGTTGAGAAACACTGGTACAGGTGGCAAGAGGAAAGTCATCCATTAAAATGGTAAAATACTCAGTCAGTTATTTGGCTAAGTATATGTGTGCATCTTCATAGTCACATTTTCAGGTGTTAAAAACTATAAATTTAAGATAAATATTTTTCATGAAGTGATATAAGTTCATGTTTCATTGCACACATGTTGCTTTGGATTTGCTGTTGAATTTGCCTTATTCCGGTAGATTCTTTGAGAGAACATTTTAATTCATGATGTCTTAACCAAATCTGACAGAATTGATGGAACTATTACTGGGTTTTACTTTCTAAATGCCAAAAATCTTCCCCTGCAGGACCGAGGTGATGAGTTCACGTACACGGGGAGTGGTGGTAAAAATCTGGCTGGTAATAAGCGAATTGGTGCACCTTCAGCTGACCAAACATTAACAAACATGAACAGGTACTCGTTAGAGTTTGTAAAAATTATTTAGAATGTGGCCTATTATAAAAGTTTAATCATAGGACTATAATCGGTGTCATATATTCTAGAGAAAAAACAACAAATTTAGATGAAAATCTAAAATAAAAGTCCCATTATCTGATAAGATAATTCTATGCATCCTAACATATTTATTTCGTTATTTTAAAATTGCATAATTCTTAGTCCTAATACTTGCTTGCGTTTGGAAACACGTTAAAAACTTTAAAGGAAAGAAGCCTATATGATTTAAGCGAATCTGAGTACAAGGTGGCCCTTTTAATTTGCTACCCCATAGGTTAAAGTTATGCTCAGTAAAATTTGTCTTTGCAAATGACAAACTCCTTTTTAAAAGAAATTCAACAGTGTCAATTTGGAATCTCTCTGTGAGCCACATTTATGTGTAGAAATGAAACACCGAATAACTTAATGAAAACTATATTCAAGGTGCTTCTAAGAGTCATAATAATAAGATGCCACTTAAGTGTTATAAAAGGGAATATTAATTTAGTTACCAAAAAGACTTCCTAACTGCTTCTAAGCTGTTACAAAAGAGCCACCTTGTTTATTGACCTTTATTTTATAAATATATTACTGACATTCAACTTCCCTGGGAACATATAAGTAACTTCAAAGTGTTTTATTTCATAAATGAATGCATGCTAATACCAATAATAAAAGAATTAGTAACCCAAACTACTAGATAACAAGAACCACATTATAACTTGGTACACTTAAAATTATATGATCATCTCATACAGTTGAACATTTTTATATCCTATTATTATGGGTGTTTTGTGAGCCATTAAGTAAAAGCGAATTGGGGTTTGGGGGTTTTTTATTCCTTTCTTTCTTGAGTCTAAGTCAATCAGTTTTAAGTAGTGTGCCCTCAATTTCTGATTCCCGGGTGAAGACTATACCCATATGATGTTAAGGCTTTGTTGCCTACGGAGTTATATAGACTCTGTGTTTTTGTATCTTCCTTCTATATTATTTCTGACAGTAGGATTATTTTATTGAACCAGCAGAGGAGACAGGTCAGATTTGCTGGTGAAAACATTCCTGAGGTAGGAATTCAGTCCCTAGCAATTTTTCTAAAATGAAAGCAGCTCTTCAAGAGGAATGATCTTAAAAGAGAAATATTTTTACATCTTTTTATCAATGAAAATATACTTAGACTTTTCAGAAGGTTTTTTCCAGCTGTCAAATTTGAAAATTACATCTCTCATTTAATGGTAATAATTTTGCTGGAATGAAAGTACTTATGTTAGCTGCTTGCACTTGCGATGTCCATGGTAAATGCATTTCAAGCTTTTGCATAATCAAATCAGTACACCTTGTTTAGCTTATGATTGTCTCATTAGAAAATAATTGACAGCAGCAAAAATGTATAAAATGGAAGGTAGCGAGGAGGAAATAGTGACTCAAAACCATTTAGGATGAACTTGGCATACCGATTCTAACATCCATATGGTTCATTTCTACACTAGGCTATGTGTACACCTTGTGGTTATAAATACCTCAAGCAGAACTTTTTAAAACATGAAAATTGGAAGGAAGGGGCTTTGCTTCTGACCCATGCTACGTTCTTTTCTAACTCGAAAATTGATTCGCGTTTGTATGAGTTAGTTTAGGTATCTGTTTCTTGCTTTGTAGAAACTTGTTGCTATCTCTTAGCTTTTCCTTTATGAAAGTTAAAGAGCAACGAGGTCCATCCTTTATCAGGGCATTCGGAGGCAGCCCCTTGAGCTGCAGCTACCGTAATGGAAAAGCCTTGTTATTTTGCCTCGTTTTATCCTCTTGGACTCTTCTTACATCCTTGAACAGCTTGGATAGAATATGAAGTTAGGAGTGAGTTAACAGTGCAAGTTACTGGTGGCATTCATTTTGACTGAAGGTACCAGAGCGCACCAGAACGGTCCACTTATTAAATAGGAAGGTAGTATTATCTTTGCCCTGGCTTAAGCTGAAGAGAATAAACTAAGTATGTCTCAATAAGCATTCCATAAATATGATAGAACACTAGCCCTGAAGTTGACATCAACATTTCCTCCTACCTCTCAGAATTTTAAAGCAGTTCCTACAGTAAAAACAGATAACTTGGTAAACTTAGCTTTGACTACATCTAGAAAAGATTTTTTTTTAGAGTACTTAAAAAGTGAATTTACTTTAACAAAAAAGATTTCAGTAGATTAGTTTCAAGTTGTTTTGTTTTGTTTTTTTGAAATTGAGTGTAAAGGAGCGGTAGCACAGTGAGTGCGGCATTTGCCTTGCACACGGCTGACCCGGTTGACCCAGGTTCAATTCCTCTGCCCATCTCAGAGAGCCCGGCAAGCTGCCGAGAGTATCTCGCCTGCACGGCAAAGCCTGGCAAGCTCCACATGACGTATTCTATCTGCCAAACACAGTAACACCAAGTCTCACGATGGAGATGTTACTGGGCCTGCTGCTCGAGCAAATCGATGAACAACTGGAGGACAGACACAGACTCACAGTGTAAAGGCACACACACACACACACACATACACTCACACACATTATAACTTTACCTATTTTTAGCAGTTTGTTTTCACTTAGGAAGTAGATGTCTTAGAGGAAGAACACTAATTTTAAACAGATTCCAGTTTAGGGTTTTTGTTTTGTTTTGTTTTGTTTTGTTTGGAAGGGCTAAACCCTACCAAGAAACTTTTAACTTCCCATAACCTTATTGATCAATTTTTACTAAGTGAGCACACATACTAAGGAAACTCAACCAGGCACTGCTTCCAGTTCACTCTTTTGCATTTCTCATATATCAGTAAAATGAGATATCAAGCAGCCAAAAATCTTTATTATCATGATTTAGCAAAGGCATTTAATGCTTCAGTTTTAATTAAATTTATCCTTTACTGGAGGTCTTTAAAGAATACTCTCATATTGAACTTTGTCTTAATATATTCTAAACTATAAGAAACCTCTATTGCTTGTCTGGAATGTGCAAAGTTTACCTGGAAAGGTCATTTGTACCTTGCTGACAAATTTTCTGGATTTCTTTCTACATTATTCCAGCAATTTTACCTCATTCCCTTATCAAAAATAAATATTACAACAATCACTTGCTTTAGTTATCCAACTTTCTCCCTTCCCTCAACAAACGTTATTTAAAGAAAATTCCATGTATTTTTAGTTGTTTTCTATTATACGTGGCACAGATGTTATTACTTTCAGAAGAACCCTACAGGCTATCTGAGAACCAATCCCCCGGCTTGGGGGTGACATCAGAAAACTGATTTGTCTTCTCTGCTGGTGGGGGAAAGCATAATCCTATTATCTGGAATAATATGGAAAGAATCATAGAATCTTAACCATCAGGTAAGGCATAATTCACCTTTCAATTGAGCTAATGATGCGATTACGTAATTGAAGAAAGATTACTTGGTATAAAGACTTTGTTTTATTTTTTTAGGGCATTGGCCCTAAACTGTGATGCTCCATTGGATGATAAAATTGGAGCAGAGTCTCGGAATTGGAGAGCTGGTAAGCCAGTCAGAGTGATACGCAGTTTTAAAGGGAGGAAGATCAGCAAATATGCTCCTGAAGAAGGCAACAGATATGATGGCATTTATAAGGTGCTCTATCTGGCATGACATCTTGTTAGTCATTCTTCCTGGGCTTTCCAGACAGAGTAGCCACAGGGAACTACTCTTCTGTGGGTGGGCTGAAGGAAGTAGATCATTGTAATCACCATTTCTACTTTTTCTGCGAATGTAACAGATGCGCAAGCAAGCTCTTAACTTTGATACTTTGCTTTTAAAGCTTATTTGAAATTCCTCAAGGCAGTTATATTTGGGGCTATGACTTTCACAAGTATATATTATATTCTCTTCGATAAAAATTTGGCTATTACAGAACTTGATTCTTAACATCTTTCATAATGAATTAAGTTGTAATTTTCAAAGAAGAGCACATTATCATATTGAAAGTAAGTTTATTCATTGAAAAAAAATACAAGCCTCTACGGCCTCCATTTTATGTACTGCTTTTGCAAAGTCTTGTTAAGTAGCAAAATCTCCTATTTCAAATAGATAGCAGTCTGTACTTACGGGAACTTTCTTAATTGAAAATAAAGTCAAAACAATGTATCAGTGAATAGTCTGTTTATACTCATACAGCAAAGCAAGTATCTTGAATTTTTCTTTGGCATTTTGTGCTTAGTTCTGCGAAGTTTACACTAACATGACATTATAAATAAGTGCATACTTTATATTTCAAACTGGTACTCACATATCATTATTTAGGTGGTGAAATACTGGCCAGAAATTTCATCAAGCCATGGGTTTTTGGTTTGGCGCTATCTTTTAAGAAGAGATGATGTTGAACCTGCTCCTTGGACCTCCGAAGGAATTGAGCGGTCAAGGAGGTTGTGTCTACGTTTACAGGTTAGATTACATTTGTCTAAACTACTTGCATGTTTGTTAAAAACACACACCTCTGTACTGTTTGATATTCCTTAACACTGAACATGACCTATAAGGTTAGAACATCTAAGGGGGGTGAGGAGTGAGATCTTCCAAGTATACAAAAGGAAGAAGATAGCTTTCTAGGTGCCAAACTGCCTTAAGCCCACAATTTGTGCTTGGGAAAAGCTGGGCTTGTAAATGAAAAGTAAAGTGCTTCCATTCAGTTTGGAATGTCTCAAGGTATTTTAAAAAAAAGGTTGGGGGGAGGAGAACTTCACTAATGGCCACGATCCAGAAAACACAGAACAATACGCCATAGCCATGCCTCCAGACCCATTGCCAGGCTGTTTCACTGGGGCACCCCTGAGCGGGGTGGGTGAGGCCCCTCCCTGCCCCAATGCACCTGAAAACTGGCAGCTGAAACCTCCAGAACTCAACCACCACCCCTGCTCACAGCCGCTCTCCACACGCTTGGGCTGAGCCTCACCCATGAGTCCGTCTATTCCTGGACAACTCATACTTTATACTACCAGTGTACCAAGAGTTGCAGTACAACATTTGGTTGGGTTTAAAGTAGAAGGCAACCAACCTTAGGGGGAAATATCTTTATAGAGATATAGACATAAGCACACAAGGCTCAACCTTTAACAAGATGTTCGTGATCTCTTATAGAAGGGCTTACTGGCTCCTGGGTGAAATGCAACGCTCTTCACACACTGTCCTCTGAGAAACCTTTTTTGGATCATTTTTTTTAGATTATTCATAACAAGCCATACAAAATAAATTATTTCGGTTCTTCTTCAGGGGCAGGGTTTGGGGTTCGGGATGGAAGTATGGGGGTGGGAAGGTGTAATGGCGGTGGGATTGGTGTTTGAATATTAAATGTAATCAAATATTGTAAAGAACTTTATAAAAAATAAAACAAAAAATTGTAAGCCACAGAATCTCCATACAAATTGAGAATTCAAGAAAAACTGACAACTGATGTATGAGGAGTCCTTGAGAAGGGAAGTTAGTTCTAGAGGTCGTGGGGGCATGTCTGGTAGGGGTGGGGGAAGGTGGCTAATAAGAGTGGTGTGCTTTCTACCCTTTTCTCTCTTCCTCACCCCTCTGTTCCCCACCCAAGCTCCTTCCCTGTCCTGCTGCCATGTTTAGTGATTTGGCCTTTGTGTCCCCCACCTTGTCCATGCTCAGCTATTGACCCATATAGACCTTATGTGCTGGATGTGCATTCCCCCCCTCTGCTGCCTGTACACTCCAGACTTCGTCCGACACTGACTTCAGAGCATGGTTCGAGTTTATCCTCCATCAGACCCTGTCCTTCCCCATCATTGTGCTTCCTGGTCTGCCCACTGCACGTGTAGAGGCTGAACTATGGGCAAAGGCCTGACTACCCATTGAGTCTGTTTCTGGTTTTGCTTTCTTTTAAAACTCAAAATTTGTTTGATCGACACCTGCTAAAATAACTGACCCTCCCACCCCCTCAAAATTTTTAAACAAAATTTTGAAGCCAGATAGTACAGTGGGCAGAGCACTTGCCTTGCACACAACCAACTCAAGTTTGATCCCCAGCACGCCATCCGGTCTCCCGAGTCCACCAGCACAGAGCCAAGTATATGCCCTGAGCACCGCTGGGGTTGGCCCAAAATAAAACAAAAATAAATAAGACAATATTTTAAAACTTGTTAAATCCGGTTTTCAAAAATGTTTGCAGCTCCACTCCAGGAGAGTAGTTTTCTTAAATAGATTTGAAACTGAGCAGTAGACCATCCTCTACAAAGAGTTAAGGATGTCTTTTTTTGCTTTTTGGATCACACCCAGTGATACTCAGGGGTTACACCTGACTGTACACTCAGGAATCACTCCTGATGGTGCTGGGGGACCATATGGGATGCCGGGGATCAAACCCGGGTTGGCCGCGTGCAGGGCAAACGCCATACAAGCTGTACTGTTACACCAGCCCCAGGATGTCATCGATAAGACTGGGAATACATTGAGCTTTAAACGGGCATGTTAATCACAATGCTTGCCACCTGCAAGGGAGGAAAAAACAAAACAATAACAAGTAGCCAGTAAAATGCAAGGATAATTGTTAGAATTAATTCCTTAACACTTAGATGCTGGCGTTACAATATGTGTTAATTAAGCCACATTCAAATGTGAGTTGCCTGTTGTGTACTCTGACATTAACACAGTAAAGTCTAACTTTCAGCTGATGTAAATTCCCATAATTTAGTGACTTTAAGTGTTCTGAAACTTCCCCCCATCCCATAATTTGGAAGATAAGAAGCTTAACCCTTAAGGTTTGTTGAGAAGGGAGGCGCTCTTGCCCAAGGCTGTTTTTAAGATTGGCTCTATCTGTAGTGTTATCCCACTGAGAGCTAGCTCTTTTCCCTGTGTAGTTGATTTTCCCCAACCTTTATATCTCAGTTCCAGTTTTCCTACTTCCTTAAGCTTTTCTAACCAAGTGTTCACAACTTACCTTTCCTCATTTAGATTCCAAAACTAACATTATTTTGATACCAAATCTAGTGTAAAAACAAGGCTTTAAATTGAATTGGGGATTTTAGGAACCTACAGAGAATTCTGTTATTCTGTTTCTGTTAGACTTTTTTTTTTTTAATGTCTGTTGCCTATGTTTAAAGATATACTACAGTTCAGGGAAAGTATAAATTCCTCCCCCACTGCCTTTTTAAATTTCTCACCAAGATCTAGAGTCCATTCCCCCTCTGAATGAAATTTGAGTCTGTATTATACTTTTTCCTCCCATCAGTATCCAGTCGGTTACCCTTCAGATAAGGACGGGAAAAAGACTAAAGGACAGTCAAAGAAGCAGGCCAATGAAGTCTCCAAAAGGCCAACTCCAGATGGTAGGTAATGATTGCCGAGCATAAGCCCTAACGACACAGTTTCTAAGAAAGAGAATATTAAGCAAATTATTTGAGAAAGAAATTGATACGAAATTTAAAGCTAATGTTTTGTGGGGACCGGTGCTGGGAAGGTCAGAGAGATACTTCTTGTATATTTTAATAGGGTTTGAACCAACAATAAATAACCTAGACTTCAGGGGAGGTTAGAGTCTGCTTTATGTAGCTTACCTTTAAATAAGTTCAACAGAACTGGTGCATTTACACTTCGGTTGCATAGTTCTGCTCAGAGCCACTCACTCATCAGTTCTCTGACGTGATTTTACATAAATCTAGACAATTGTCCAAGTGCCTCCAAAGTGCCCAAAGCATCAGATTCCGCAGAAGCAGTGGAGGCTTTCCAACTCACACCGCAACAACAACGTCTCATCAGAGAAGACCATCAAAACCAGAAGCTATGGGATGAAGTGCTCGCGTCGCTTGTGGAAGGACCAGTATGTAAATGTTCTTTTAAATCACAATGTTGTGTATTAACAAATGATGAAAACTTGTTTCCGTGTGATGTGTCATTTTCTCAACTCCGTCACAACCTCATCCTTTTACCCAGTCTTCTCATCCAGTGCTGCCATCACCTTTCGGAAATAATCTAGGATAATATTTAGATACTTCAAAATTGACTTTTTACTTGTGCGTGTCTGAACTTCGTTTATGTTGAGATTCAGATATGATGATGTTTTCTGTTGTAGAATCTATTCAGCTTAATTTAGAACTCATCAGGAGGGCTAGGGCAGTAGGCCAGCAAAAAGGGCACTGACCTTGCTCACATCAACCCAGGTTTGATTTTCAGCACCACATGCCATTTCCTGAGCCCTGCCAGGAGTGATTCCTGAGCACAGGGCCAGGAGTAAGTCCTAAGAATCATTGGGTGTGGCACCAAAACAAAACCTAATCAGGAAATTAAGCACAAGTTGCAATACCTATAAAAGAGACTATAAAACCCAGCTCCTGGAAGCGCGCGGCCGCTAATGCGGCCACGCAACATCTTATTATCTTATTCCTACTTTGGACAAACTGGCAGGCTGCCGAAAGTAACCTGTCCACACGGCAGAGTCTGGCAAACTCCCCGTGGCATACCCAATATGCCAAATACCAGTAACAATGATGGGTCTCATTCTCCTAACTCTGAAAGAGCCTTGAATATGGGACTTTATTTAAAAAATCTCAGGGCTAAGACAAAGGAGACGTTACTGGGGCCTGCTCGAGGCAATCGACAAATGACAGGATGGAATAACAGGATGGTTGTGATCGTGATCGTGCAATACCTATTTGTTCAGCCTACGGGTAAAATAAGCCAGATGCTGGGAGTAATTCTTAGTGCTGATGCACTGTTATTGTCCTGTTATTTTATACCTGTTCTCCACTGATAAGCTAGGAAAAAATCATTAGCTCAAAAAAAAAAAATAGACAGGAATTGACTAACATGACTTAAATAACTAAATATATTACATATGTGTGCGTATTTCTACCCAAATACCTTCCCAGAGTTCTACATACTCTGGCTTCTGTACCTACTTCTTCAGTCTCCTCTTGCCACTCAGTCAGGCCCAGACTGCTTTGGTTACAGTGATTTCTGCTTCAAGCGCTTTCCCATATGTATTACCTCGCTGACTAGAATCCTCTTCTCTATCCTTGTATGACTCACGCCTTATCCTTTAAGTTTCTGCAAAAGTACGACATTGTTCAATGAGGCCTTCCCTGGCCACTGCTTCAAAAAGAGCCACTCTGTTGTTTTGATTTATTTCTTCTAGTACTCTTACGTGAAATAAATTTTTTGTCTGCTCTTCAAATGAAAATTAGGGTTCTCTAAGAGCAGGGACCTTGCCGTTTTCATCACCACTTCACAGAGATGAGTGCCTGAGTACATGCGGAACTCAAAATCCCTCTAGTATCTAAATTTTAATTTCAGTTATCATGGAGGTACTGAGAAATATTAGTCATTAACCATTTGTCAGGGAGAGAATGTGTGATGTTAAAATGTGAGTTTTTTGACATCTCCCCTAAATTCTGCCTTTCTATTAACATGAAGAACATACATAAAACTAACCTTTTTCTCTTACCCTTTTTTACCATGTTAGAATTTTCTGAAAAAATTGGAACAATCTTTCATGTGTGTCTGCTGCCAGGAGCTAGTCTACCAGCCTGTTACAACAGATTGCCTCCACAATGTCTGTAAAGTAAGTAGAATTCCTTTCATATTCACCCTTGTTAAGACAAAAGGCATACAAAACCTATTTGTAATATATGAAGAAGCACTGTTCTGAAGCAAGCAGCAAACAGAACAGTTCTAGAACCTTGCTTGTTCAGAAACATACAATTGCATCTTGATGGTAAATTTTAATTCTGTAATACTGATTTAGATGGATATGTTGAGTTATTCTGTATTGTTCAGAATTGCGAAGAAGGGATTAGAATGGGGAGAAAGTAGTAAGGATATGTCAGTGCTGTTTTCTAAGATGTAACAAATATGTTTGCTATATTGAAAGTCAAGCTGGAATTGTTCCATGCAATTTGTGGAATTCTAAACTTATTCTACCTTGGCAGCATGCCCATATGAATTGAATATTATTTAGTAGAAGTTGTGTAAGAGTAAAACAGAGTTTTAAAACCAGGCGTATGGGGCTGGAGCCATAGCACAGCGGGTAAGGCGTTTGCCTTGCACGCAGCCAACATGGCCAACACAGGTTCAATTCCCAGCATCCCATATGGTCCCCTGAGCACAGCCAGGAGCAATTCCTGAGTGCGTGAGCCAGGAGTGTCCCCTGAGCATCGCTGGGTGTGACCAAAAAAAAAAAAAGAAGAAGAAACCAGGCTTAGAATACCCTATTCTACTGCTTAGCAGTTTTGTGCTCTAACTTCTAACTTCTAATCTATACTTTCCTTCATAAATTAGAAATAAAATTTCCCCATAGTGTTCGTCTTATGTAATATATAACAATGTGCTATAACTATGTAATACTATAGTTTCGGAAGTTCCTTTATATGCTGCATGATGTTACATATTTTTAGTAAAATATATAACATAGTTCCAAGCTGAGGAATCCTGAATTTATTTTCTTAAGCCTTTTCTCCATTAAAATGCAGCCTAGCGTAGGTGAACTAGCATAGGGATCATGAGTGCAGGGTTTCTGGTTTGATGTCTCATGCCACCTGTCTTTCCAAACACCACCAGGCACAGCTCTGGAGGCCTGATACCACTGCCAGGGTGGCCTTGAGGGTCCCCTTAACCACAGAGGATCTATAGTACACATCCTCAAGCCCGGTTGGCTGAGCATTGCTGAAGTGGCCCCTGAGTCCTCCCCTCCCCCAACTTCCAATTAAAATGCAGCTCAAAAAATGGGTCTCGTGGAGTCCCCACTTACTGAATGAGAAAATGAAAACAAAAGTGTAGTCATCTTCCTCATAATATTATGTGCTAAAAATGAACAGGGGGTTGGGGGGTGGAAGGGATACTGGGATCCATGGTGGTGGGAAATGGGCACTGGTGGAGGGATGGGTATTTGATCACTGTGTAATTGAAATCCAAGCACAAAAATTTGTAAGTCTACAACTGTACCTCATGATGTCTCACTAATAACAATTTTAAAAAATAAAAAATAAATAAATAGAAAACAAATCTGAGTTAAAAGCAAAAATAAATAAAAATTAAAAAAATTAAAATGAACAAAGGGGGCTGGAGCCATGGTATATAGTAGGTCGGGCTGCACATAGCCAACCTGGGTTCATTCCTGACACCCAATATGGTTGCCCAAGCGCAGCAAGATGTGACCCTCCCCCCCCGCCCCCAAAAAGGTATATTTGTAGACTGTTTTTAATAATGCAGTTTCAGAGCTTACCACGTATGTTCCTGTTACGCCACACAGTAATTTTATAGTTTCTACTAAAAAATGTAGTTGTTACGTACGTTTTTACATGCTTTATCCTCAGATGAAATTGAATGTTTCGTTTTGTCTTTTGTCTCGTCTTGCTTTTGCCATAGGATTGCTTGCAGCGCTCCTTTAAGGCACAGGTTTTCTCCTGCCCTGCTTGCCGTCATGATCTTGGCCAGAATTACGTCATGATCCCCAATGAAGTTCTGCAGACTCTACTTGACCTTTTCTTCCCCGGGTACAGCAAAGGACGATGATCGACCACTGTGTTGTTCCTGGCGGCTTTTTGGACAATAAAGAATCTAAACGGGGGGGGCGGGTGGGGGGACGTGGAAGCTATGGTGGACCATATCTCGCTCACGTTCTGAAGCAGCTAATCCTCTTTCCTACTTAGCCATCATCCTGTGTGTGTAGTAAGAGGCCCATTTCTCAGCTGTCTTTTAAATATCAAAGGTAGTTCCTGACAGTAACAACTAGTTTGAATGAGCAAAAAGTCAAAGCCTCAGCTCTAGTTGATAACCAAGTTATGATTTATTTTGCAACTACCTCAGGACAGAAAAGATTTATGGGGATTTTTTAAATCATTGAATAATTAGTTACATGAAATTTTAGCTACACACTGCCTCTCAAATATTAGTTGTGCCTGGTTCATGTAATTTGATTTCACAGAAAAGGAAATGATAACTGAGATCTTTGAAATGACCGCAGCTTCTGTAGTGTGCATATTTTGTTTTAATGTATCTTCTTCCATTGCAATGTGTTTTTTAGCCCATTTTGTGAGCACCACTGTGCTTTTTTTCTGGTGTTTTATGCAAGTTGACTACTAATGACTAATGAGAACAATATGAATGCATTGTTACTGCATTAGTGTAATGTGGCGTGGTTTTGCACTTAAAAGAGGTATTCAGATGCTCTAGTTGTAAATGTTCATGAAATGCCTCTTCTGTACTAGTCAAACTGCTTTTAGTGAGTCTCACCAGTGGTTTTACATCTGCAAAGCATTGAGGGCTGGGCTGACTTTTGAGAGGATTGAAATTACTTCATATTGTGATCCTAAATTTTATATTCACTATATTCCCCAAAGTATACCTTAATAAATATTTTATGACCAGAAAAATAACCTCTCCTTGCTTTATGTTTTTACATTTGTCTGGTTTGTAACTATGTATTTTTTAAGAATCAGTCATTTCCAGAGTATTTCATTGTGTGCTTTTCTTAAAAATTGAAACAGACATTCTGCACAAGTTTTTGGGTTTTGGTAATAAGAACTAGTATGAAATTACTTAAGTTTTAAGGAAACATTTGATATTGGATTTAGAGTTTTCTTATTTGTTTTTTTGTTTCAATTTTACTAAATTGGAAAGATTCAAACTGAAAACTAGTAAACCTAGTTTTTTTTTTTCATTTTTTATAATTTTATTTATTGAATCACCATGAGAGCAGTTACAAAGTTTTCGGATCTAAGTCTCGGTCAAACAATGAAACACCCGTACCTTCACCAGTGCCCATTCTCCACCACCAAAAACCCCAGTATACCCCCATCCCACACCCTCCCCCTGCCTGTGGGGCAGATGATTTCCACATTACTCTCTCTCTACTTTGATCACATTCAATATTTTGACACCAGACCCATACCCCAACACTAGGATCTGCTGAAAAAGCAACAATAGACAATTTGTGTTATATTGCTGGTTATGAATAACATATGATGTCGCATGGCTGCAGTAGGGCCATGTGATTTTGAAATTCCGAAATTTTAACACTTAAATCTGGAGGGATTTCTGCCAAAAGCCACTGGGTTTAGAGATTTGCTCCTGAGTCTCTGGGATCATGACCGTTGAGCAGCTTGATCAGGAGCCAGAGAGGCCGTTCGTGGGCGATGACTAGGGGTCTCATTGGGGTGGGGAGGACAGGCCCGGCTCCCCCCTCATCCCGTGAGGCCCAACAAGTTTCGTCACTGCTGGCCCAAGCCTGACTGTCCAATGGCCTCTGGAGGATGACGGCCACCGAGCCGCCAAGGGGGAGCAGGCTGAGTGACAACACCCTTTCCCCCTGGGGTGGCCCGGCGACAGTAACGTACTGTGGGGTCCGGACACATTTCTACAAAAAGCCACTGGGTTTCAAGATTTGCTTCTGAGTCTCTGGGATCATGGCCGTTAAAGAGTTTGTTCAGGAGCCAGAGAGGCCGTTTGTGGGCAATGACTTGGGGTCTCATTGGGTGAGGAGGACAGGACTGGCTCCACCCCCATCCCATGAGACCCTGCGTGTCTCATCACTGGGGGCCCAAACCTGACTGTCCAGTGGCCTCTGAAGGATGGTGGTCACTGGGCCACCAGGGGGAACAGGCCAAGGCACAAAACCACTTCCCACCTGGGTTGGCCCAGCACCGGTGACCTACTGCAGAGATCAGACACATTTCTGCCAAAAGCCGTTGGGTTTCAAGATTTGTTTCTGAGTCTCTGGGATCATGGCCATTAAGCAGTTCAATCAGAAACCAGAGAGGCCATGCCTCCAAGTATATAGCTGAGCCGGAGGTGGTTTGTGGGTGTGTTTCCCACATACCTAACTTTTGGCCGTTTACTTTCTTGGTAAACTTTGCCCCAAGTTTTTGGGGTCTGGCCAAAGGCACAGCAGCAATTTGGGGGTATCTGGAAGTCTGAAGGCGCTATCAGGCTGCTGATGCACTCGCCTCACAGGTACAGATAGACCTGCTGGCGGCACCATACCCCCAATAAGCCTGGTTTTTAAACTAAATTAAATTTTATTTTGTTTTGGGACTGTGCCTGGCCGTGCTCAAGGGGTTTTCCCAGTTCAGAGCTCACACCCATCAGTGCAGGAGACCTTGTAGTACTGGAGATCAGACCTGGGCCTATGGCATGCAGAGGGCATGCACTAGCCCTTTGAGTTAACTCTCCAACCCTTGATTTTTTTTTTTCTTAATCTAACAACTTCAAGAAACTGGAGTTAGCTCAGGTATGGTTCTTGCCTTGCACACAATAGACCTGGGTTCGATCTCCAGCATCCCATTTAGTCCCCCATGTACTGCCAGGAGTAATTCCTGAGTGCCGAGCCAGGAGTAACCCCTGAGCTTCAAGAGATGTGGCCCCAATCCCCCCTGTCCCTCCAAAAAATAGAAGTAACAACTTGTTTTGTATTCAATTTATCAAAATCAATTTAATTTTTATTTAAAGGAGGAAAGGGCCAGCTCCACCCCCATCCCATGAGGCCCCACGTGTCTCATCCCTGCGGGCCCAAACCTGACTGTCCAATGGTCTCTGGCAGGTGACGGCCACCGAGCACCCAAGGGGGAGTAGGTCAAGGCACAAAACCTATTCCCACCTGGGGTGGCCCAGAGCCTGTAACCTACTGTGTGGCCCACACGCATTTCTGCCAAAAGCGGCTGGATTTCGAGATTTGTTTCTCAGTCTCTGGGATCATGGCCATTAAGCAGGTTGATCAGGAGCCAGAGAGGCCGTTCGTGGGCGGTGACTGAGGGTCTCGTTGGCACAAGGAGGAAAGGGCTGGCTCCAACCCCCATCCCATGAGGCCCCGCGTGTCTCATCAATGCGGGCCCAAACCTGACTGTCCAGTGGCCTCTGGAGGATGACGGCCACCGGGCCTCCAGGGGGAACAGGCCAAGGTACAAAACCTATTCCCACCTGGGGTGGCCCAGCACCGGTAGCGTACTGCAGGGACCGGAAGCATTTCTGCCAAAAGCCGTTGGGTTTCAAGATTTGTTTCTGAGTCTCTGGGATCATGGCCGTTAAGCAGTTCAATCAGGAACCAGAGAGGCCATGCCTCCAATTATGTAGCTGAGCCAGAGGTAGTTTGTGGGTGTGTCTCCCACATACCTAACTTTTGGCCGTTTACTTTCTTGGTAAACTTTGCCCCAAGGTTTTGGGGTCTGACTAAAGGCACAGCAGCAATTTTGGGGTATCTGAAAGTCTGAAGGAGCCACGAGGCTGCTGATGTACTCGCCTCACAGGTACAGATTGACCTGCTGGCGGCACCATACCCCCAGGGTCTGTAGTTTTAGAACTCCCTTCTAAATATGGTTATCCAGGAAATATGTACTTGTTAATAACAGTTATTAGGTGTATTTGGAGAAGCTAAAAAAACTAGCTTAACACGAATCATCACAACTCTTTTGTGATGATTTTGCTATCAAGAAGCAGCCTCACCTGTATAATTTAAAGCTGTGGATTCTAGCATAGATCCTACTTACAGGAACTGAATAGCTCTGACTTGCCGATTGTCATTTTTTTCCTTTGTGTATTAGGGACCAAGCCTTTCCCCTGTTCTTTTTCAGGACATCCTAAAAGATAAAGTTCATTATTCTCTACCTGATTTGGAGAAATTGGGCTTAATAATATCACTAGCTTGTTTATATTGGGAAGGTTTATCCTTGGTCACTGTCTGCTGACTGTATCCCCACAAGAATCTTTAAATTCCTACGGGAGGAATTTAAAGGTAGGGTGCCTTCCTAAAAGGCTACCTTCCAACCCAGGTGGTCCCCCAGACAACACCAGGAGTAAGTCCTGAGCACCACCAGTATGTAACAAAAACAAATGAACAAACAGAATTTTCTAAAGGAACTCAGTACAACAAACACAAATTTACCACCAGTTGCTCAGAGAGCCCAGCAAGCTACTGAGAGTATCTCGTCCGCACAGCAAAGCTTGGCAGGCTACCCCTGATGTATTCAATATGCCAAACACAGTAACAAGTTTCACACTGGAGATGTTACTGGGCCCACTAGAGCAAATCGATGAACAATGGGAGGGCAGTGCTACAGTGCTAGACACAGGAAATCAACAGCTTGCTAGAGGGAGTAAGACAACACATGACTACTGTTGGGGGGAAAAAATGAAGAAAAGACTAAGAAAGGTTTTGCAGCTATATCTTCAAATATGAAACTGTTCATAGAATAAGACCAAGCTGTTGTGTGATAATTTGAGATTGGAAATTAAAATTCTTAGAAATAAACAGGATTATAAAAACAAAATACATCAGACAAAACAATGTACACTGCCAAAATTTGAATGTGTGGCTGAGTAATCCATTATACATGAATATCCTAAAATTTGTTTGTTCACAAATGTGGGTGAACATTTAAGTTCTGTCCAGGATTTTGTATTAACGCATCTGTGAATCTTTGTGTATAAGTTGAAAAATATCTTGATGGTTTCTTATAAATTCCATAAATCTTTACAGACTTTTCCAAGGTACATTATATCATTTTGCATCACCATCAAAAATGTATGTGAGTTCTAGTTGCTCCACATTCTAATACTTTGTCTTTTCGGTTGTAACCAGTCTACAGGTTATGTAGTTCTTACAGGAGACAGGATGGATGGCTATTCATACCAGAAAACTGTAGTAGTCATGTGTGCTATGTACCAGGCATTTCTAGTTCTCAAGTGCAAGTGTTAGGATCACACATCCCTGTGGTTAGTTAGGGCCAGGTGTCCAGTTTGCTGTAATAGAAATACTCTCACTTCTAGATAGGACATTTCATTGATCTCTGGAGCTTGCTTTCTCCTTTTATGGAGGCGTTTGATAGAACTTTGCTCACAATGAGAAAAACTTCAGAACTTCCAGGCTGGAGAGATAGGACAGGGGGTAGGGTGCTTTCCTTGCATGTGGCCCACGTTGGTTTCATCTCTGGCACCACCACACAAAGTCCCCAGATGACTGCTAGGAGTGATCCCTGAGCACGGAGCCTAGAGTAAATACTGAGCATAGTCAGGTGTGGCCCAAACACTAAATAAAAAAGAAAGAGGAAAGTAAATCTTTTAAGACCCTAAGAAATTAAATGGTTGACCTATCTTGAATAATGGAAATTTCCCCAAATTTCCAAACCTACCAGTAGGCAAGGAATTTAATTGAACTGTTTCAATTAAATTTTATTCTAAGCAAATTGATTATGAGCTGTTGATAAATTGTTGATGGTGTCTAGGCAGTCTATAAAATGATCCCTGCTGATCTCCACCTTCTAATCTGCATGCTGAAGGCTTAATTTCCTCCCCTTGAGTATCAGCTGGACTTAATCTTGTAATGAAAAAAATGCAGCAAGTGTTTTTACTTCCACAGCTATGTTACCAAAATACTGTGGCTTCC